GTAGTCTAAACTTCAAACTTTTGTTAAACTAGGATTTTGGTACTTTATTTAAAATTTGTAGAACTGTAAAATTTAGTTTAAAAAAATGCAGAGTATTTTAACACAGATAAATGCACTACTTCCTGAACACCTACCTGTATGAGTACAAATGATATACAGTGGATCTGCTTTGTGCATGCAGGTGCAAACAAAATGCATTAAACACTATGCACAGTGCAATTTCAAAGGAAACGAGAATGCCAGATTTTGGTCTGACAAGTAGCGCTCTGGTCAATTGAAATTGAATACGTTATTCAGCATCACTCAACTGATCAGATTAGCTGTATCAAATGCATTGGCAAGGTATCTATGATCAATGGAAAGGTTGTAGTATAATGGAGGGACTCTTTTGAGGTTAATTGAAAATGTCAATACCCATTAGAGCTTATTCTCTCATTTCATCTTGAGCTGAATTGCACAATCTGATCACTCAAAAGTAGAATAGTTTCCATTGACAAAGGCCTAAGACCCATTCTGTCACGATAATTCACAGTGAACATAAATGAAAGAAAGGGAAGAAAACTTTTATAAAATTTAAAAAGGAAGTTCAAAAAATTCCATCAGAAGTTCCCCAATTGAGAAGTAACTGTAATCCAAACTGCCACTTAAAATCTACATTTGAATTTGTGTGTGCATTGCAATAGAGAATATATTGATCAGTAAAACATATTGAACAAGGAACCTATTTTGCTTGACAACTACAGATTCCTCAATAAAGTACTAAAAGTAAGATTTAGATACATATTGAAACCTAATTCTGTACATTACTCTGCAGAAAAGCTCATCTGTTCTTTACAGTTATTCTTCATATTTGACATAGTTCAAAATCACACTCATTAATAATGAACCTATATTACATGACATGAGATTAGGTATCTAAGCATAGGCTATATGGAAGGCAGACCTTCAGTGATGCAACTTAGCATTGACCATGCTGTGAGAGGCATATTTTTGTCCAATGCAACTGGAGTGCACCTAGTGGTATCATCACGAGATGATTAATCCAGAAACCCAGCTAATGTTCTGGGGAGCCGGGTTTGAATCCCACCATGGCAGATGGTGTAATTTGAATTCAATAATTTTTTTCAAAGTATGGACCTAAGAATCTACATGAAATAATTGCCAATCGTCAGAAAAACCCGTCTGGTTCACTAATGTCCTTCAGGGAAGGAAATCTGCCACCTTCATCTGATCTGGCCTACAAGTGACTCCAGACCCATGTGGTTGACTCTCAATTGCCCTCTGAAATGGCCTATCAAGCCATTCAGTTGTACCAATCGTGACAAAGTCTCAAAGAAATGAAATTGGATGGATCACCTGGCATCGACCTAGGTACCAGAAAAGACAATGGCAGAAACAGCCCTGTCACCCTGCAAAGTCCTCCTCACTAACATCTGGGGATTAGTGCCAAAATTGGGAGAGCTGTCTCACAGACTAATTAAGCAACAGCCTGACATAGTCATACTCACATACTCTAGAGACAATGTCCCAGACACCATCATCACCCTCCATGGATATGTCCTGCAGATCCAGCAGAGGTAATGGTACAGTGATATACGGTCAGGTGGGTGTTGCTCTAGGAGTCCTCAATATTGAGTCTGGACCTCATGAAGCCTCATGGCTTCAGATTAAACATGGCAAGGAAACCTCTTGCTGATTACCACATTCCATCCTCCCTCAGCTTATGAGGCAGTACTCCTCCATGTTGAACAACACTTGGAGGAAGCACTGAGGATGGCAAGGGCACAAAATGTACTCTGGGTGAGGATTTCAATGTCCATCACCAAGAGTGGCTCAAAAACAGTACTATTGATTGAGCTGATCTGGACCTTAAGGACATAGCTGCTAGACTGGGTCTGCGGCAGGTAGTGAGGGTATCAACAAGAGGGAAAAACATACTTGACCTCATCCTTACCAATCTGCCAGCTGCAGTTGCATCTGTCCATGACAGTATCAGTAAGAGTGACCATCTAACAGTCCTTGCGGAGATGGAGTCCTGCCTTCACATTGAGAATAACATCCATCGTGTTGTGTGGCACTATCACCGCGCTAAACAGGACACTTTGAACAGATCTAGCAACTCCAGACTGGGCATCCATGAGGCGCTGTGGGCCATCAACAGCAGCAGAATTGTACTGCAGCACAATCTGTAACCTCATAGCCCGGCATATCCCCCACTTAACCATTACCATCAAGCCAGGGGATCAACCTTGGTTCAATACAGAATGCAGGAGGGCATGCCAGGAGCAGCACCAGGCATACCTGAAGATGAGGCGTCAACCTAGTGAAGCCACAAACAGAACTACTTGCACACCAAACAGTGAAAGCAGCAAGTGGTATAATTTTCTTAGCTTCTTGAAATGCTGTGCTTGTTTTACTTTGGAAATAGAATTAAGCATTACTGAATTCACCTGTTAAGTACGCACACCAGTGATCTAACCCTGTTCAAGAATGGCATTAATTTACAACTTTCATTAATACATTGTCTATATTAATCACCTGCCAAAACCATAATCCAGCCACTGCTGTGTGCAGAAGTGCATATTTTACCATCTAGCAGTCACAGAACACCACCTGCACACTAGAATATACTTGCCAATGCTTTAAGAATCATGTTTTCTCCAGCATCTCAAATTGGGGAATTTCCATTGGAAAGTTCATTAATGTAAGACTGCAACAGAAGAAAGGAAGAGATTAGTATAAGGAAAAATGTTACTACTTACCATGAAAGAATGTGGATTTGCAAGATGTTAAATCAATAAGAACTGCCCCTACTTGGCTCTTTAGATATTCTTTCATGTGTAATGGAACCTCCAGAAAGTGAAGGAGTGCTTTGAGAAAGGAAGATCGAGTAGTAATGCTGATGCCTCTAGTCGCAGGTGGCAAAAGTGACAGAGGGAAGCTGGAAGAGTCGACTGGACCCTCTATGGAAAACAGGGTGTTGTTGGGGATAGGAGGCCTCATGGGGAGAAGGAACAGACAGACAAGGGATTGCTCAATCTAATCTAAACCAGGTTTTGTTCCATGCAAATACTTCCTTGATTAGCCATAAATTTCCTTTCATGTTTATAATTACCTGATGCAGATGGAATGAAGAATCCTGCTTCATGATCTTTGGGCTGTCCTTGTGACAAAATTTATATTATGTTTCTGGTATAGTCAGCAGGATTCCATAGCACAGTCATGTGATTGCAAATGAGGTTGAAAGTGCCTGAGTGAGATTAGATTGGTGGTGGAGGAGTTGAATAGTCTCTGAGGGAGAATGAAACTACTCTAGGATTATTGGAAACTCAGTTATTGGAAGAGGGAATCAAACCCAAAGGCCAAACCCAATCAAAGGTTCCCAATGTATGTTCTCTAGATGCTCATTTGACAACACGGATGATCTTGGTTAACAATATTAGATTTTGCCAAAAGGGTCGTATATAAATGCAAGTAATTTCTGGAGGAATACTGTTTTTGGGAAGAATTCCTCGAGCTGCAGCTCTATATTGGAATGTCCCTTGATGTTATTGAAACAAATAGAGTTAGTGCATGACCGCTTGAGATCATCCAATATACACAATCAGAAAACATTGGAACCTGGTTTTAGTTATCTACTCTAAATGATGATTTGATGCTATGATATTATTTTTTGAGACCATCTCAAGTGGTTTGCTTGTAGTTTCAACTACGCAAAAACGAATCCTCTTTTAGGGTTACCTTAGACAGAAAACAATGACTCATGAAGAATCGCTAAAGTTTCACACTGTGCAGAAATCAATGGTTCCATTGTATCTTGGTGAAGTCTACCCACATGCACACATAAAATGTCATTCTGCCTCCAATGGTAAAGGAACTGTATTTGAAACATGATCTACGGAATGAACTGAAGGTTAAGTAAGTTACATTGAAAATATTCCTTGTAAAAATAACTGTCTCCTGTCTTTTATAATCTTGTTATGTGACAAGTCTTAAGTACAAAAATCATAACTTTGGCAAGGTCACTTCTTCGCTTTTCTTGAAAACCAGCTACAAGGTTATCTGTTGCCTTCTTCCTGTTAGGCAGGTTCTCTTCGTAGGTGCTTTCTTCAAACATGCTGGTACCAATAAAGATACTAACTGTCAGAAGAATGCTATCTAACATCGCGCACATTCTCATTTAGTTGGAAAACAAATGACTGCTTCAGCTATCTGTACTGTGTAGCTCCTGAAATCTGACAGTTTGCCGACCTTCAATGCAGCTCTTCAAGGTCAGTTCAGGCTTAAGAGGAGTAAGAGGGGAATTGCTGATGGACATGCTCCAATTATTGATGATTGATTGTAGGGCAGGAAGTTGCTGTCTCAGTTGTGGATCTTCTGCATCAAACAGGAGAACTAAAAGCACATTGTAAAATTTCTAGGTCAGTGCCTAGTATAAGTTATATCTTTCCTGAATGTTCAATTCACATGTCATAAACTTTTCTTGTGAATATTATGCCAAAGACATTACCAAGGACAAGACTGCTTAATGGGCATGCTGCAGTAGGCACTCTGGAGAACCATATCAAGACCTTCACAATGATGGATCAATAATCTAGATACAATCTGGATGGTCATGTTAGTATGAAGAACATAACTGCTCTTGTAAAGAGTTTGCAAGATGGACAGGCATGTAATTTGCATAGAGTCAGCAGGTACAAGTGTCACTGGGGGTGCATCCAACCACATCACCCAGGATAAGGGACCAGACTGTAGGATTATTCACACCTTTCAAAAGCTTGAGATGTCTGTTAAAAGTCAAACTGTTTCATTCTTTGTGGGTCTCTGCCAATTGCCTTGCAATGATTCTGTCCCTTGCCAGGCAAAATGCAATTGTGGGGAAACAGCAGTGCCCAAACCAGTCATTTCCCATCGGAATACCTTATCCTTTCTGTATATTCTCCTTTAAAGAAATTTGATTGTCATTACAGAGCCTTAACTGTAGTTTGTATCTTTTGCAGCTAACAGTGGGAATTCTTCAGGCAGCTGAACTTCCCGCATTGGACATGGGTGGCACATCTGATCCTTATGTTAAAGTCTTCCTGCTTCCAGACAAGAAGAAGAAATATGAGACGAAAGTTCAGAAAAAGACCCTGAACCCTGTCTTCAATGAGTACTTTACATTCAAGGTAACACTTTAAGGCAACCAGTTTCCATTTTGTTTGTAAGTGATCTTTTTATTTTGCTTTTAACATCTGTTACATTCAATCCAATCTATCAATAAAACTCATTGAAGAGCTTCTGTGGCTCAACTTTCCTATAAACATTTTTGTTCTAGCTAGCTAATTTTCCATGAACTCTATTATTTTTAAACTCCCTTTAAAACATCACATGTGGAATTTTGTCAAATGTCTTCACAACATTCAAGTAAACTACATTCTTTTCATTTAACTCTTGACCTTTTAGTCAATAAATAATTCTAGAAGATTCAAGAGACTTTATCTATTATTGGTTTGAACTTTATACTGACCACGCATCACCAGTGATTCCTGTAAATATTTTTTTCTCAGGTGTGCAGCCCACTAATTTGAATGTGCCGTTATTTTAAACTTTTTGGTAAGGCTGATGTGGTGTAGCTTAAAAGAAATAGTTTGTGAGTGGCCTGCACAGTAACTTCAAAACTGTTGCACTACTAAAGGGACATTTCTCCTTATACTGATTAAGTAAATACAGATTACATGTTACAATGTACTCTTGAACATTTTCCTCACTACAAATGTTAAGCCGAATTATAATTCTGTCGTTAGCAAAACTTACCTCCTGGATGATATTCATCATAATAATCATTCACTGCTCAGATTTAAACTAAAATGATCATTTTAATTTAGGCTTACAGATAACATCTCCTACTCACTTAATTAAACAGGTAATGTAAGTACTTCGGACACTGTTCCTTTCTATCTATCCCACTAATTCTCAATACAAACTTGCCCCAACTGTTATGTTATCACTAATAATTATATTTATTAAGCAAAATATGAATCCAGGCATTTCAATAATGAGTATGTGTTATGTAAATAAATATATGGGACGTGTCAATAAATTATTTCATGAAATATGGCATTACTGGTAAGGCCAACATTTAATATCCATCTCCAATTACTGTTGAGAAGATAATGCTGAAGCACCTTCTTGAATACAACTGAGTGGCTTGCTAGACCATTTAGAAGAACAATTAAGAGTCAGTCACATTGCAATTAGTCTGAAGTTATATATGAACTAGATTGGGTAAGAATGACAGATTTACTTCCCCAAAGGACATTAGTGAGTAAGATCAACAATAGTTTCATAGCCAATATTTCTGATACTAGCATTCTATCTCAAAAAACATAACAACATTGCTGTTATATCCTTAATCTGTTCTATTAATGGAACCACAGATATATTTTGTTCTGAGGAGCAGAGTGGATGATATCTCAACCTTTTCTACCAATAAATAATGCATTCTGGTCCTCTCACCTATTCCAGGTCCTTCACATCTCAACACTATTCTCTGTTGGTCATCTTCCCAAGCCTGATCAGAAGTTCAAGTCAAGACCATTCAAGTTTCTCCTCACTAATATTTGCATTAAATAACATTTGTATGGAGTACAAATTTAGGGTTTCATTTTTTTTGCTGTAATTTTGTTACACCTTCCATTCATGATGAAACCTCTCCAACAAAGTCACGAGAGTATATGTGTCAAATTTGCTCACTCCTTTCTTTAGTCAGCTTTCAGCAAATGTGCAAGTTTAGTTCAATTAATACACTTTCTTTCTGTTGCAATTCTACATAATGGAATCAAGGGAGCAGTATAGCTCAAAAGCTTAAATTCAGTCCAGTTCACTCTAGAGTAAATGCTTCTTCTATTTTTCAGAGTTCTATTCTGAGGGAGTGCTGCGCTGTTGTAATGTCACCTTTTGGGCCTAAATTTAACATTAATTTCAGTGAGCCTTCCACTTCTATAGACGGTGTCAAAATTTTGAGGAAGCAAAGCTCCATAACCTAACCAACAATTATCATTCAACTGATGTCACTAACGTAGATTATCTCATTTCTATTTGTAGGATGTTGGCATGTGTAAATTGACTTCCATATTGCCTACATTACAACAATGATTACAAATCAAAAGCACATCTCTGGCTGTGAAGGGTTATCCTCAGGCCATAAAGGTGTTATATAAATGCAAATTATTTCAATTGTATGAGATTAAAAAGTGAAATCTACATCTATCGATAGACCTCATTTAATTATGCTAGGTTTCTTTCAGATTACATTGGACCTTAATTATTCATCTTAAAATATGATGTTATGAGAATCTCACAACTATTTTATACATAATGTGCACATTTAAGAATACCATTTGGTCTGCGTCATTATTACAAAATATAACTAACTGTTACTGCAGTGATGAACATTGGTTATCTCATATAATAGACAAATCATTAAAACTATAATGCTGTACTTGGACATACAATATGAATATTTCAGGGTTTGTGAATGTGATTTCATCCACAGCGAATGCCTTTGAAAACAATGTTTTTTTGTGAAAGACTTTGATTCAGAATCCTTACTGTACTATTTAATATTAATAGGTTTAGAACTCCTCATTCTGCATTCTGCATGAAGCAGCTAAACATTTGCTGAAACAGCAGATTTTCAGACTGATTAAATGTAATGTGCTGCCAAAAGCCAAGAATTTCTGCTTACTTTAATGAAAAATTAAAAATATATCTCTCAAAGTTACATTGAGCCCATGTTCCTATCAAGTGAAAAGAAAACTAGCAAAAGAAACACAAATATATTGAACAAGCCAGAGAAGGCAAAGGAGGAATTATGTCATACCCAAAATTCATCAAGGTAGGGACGCAGGGGAATAAAACTAAGGGTTTTTTTGAGTACAGAATGCTCAGCATGTTCACTGAAACTCAATCAGTTGATCTTAGGAAATAAGAGCTGAAGTTACTAGATGACACAAATTGGAACTAACACAAATTAACCATGAACTAACAGGCAAATGATACCTCAAATGAAAAGACTTTAAGTAATCAATACAACAAAGATATATCTATCTCAACTGGCTACAAACATCCCTCAAACCTAATAAATATGTCGTACCATGTCTAGTTCCAAAGTTCTCTAACTCAGCTACTGCTACATAAGATCTCACAACTTACTCAACCCAGTCCCTAAATTGCTCCAAGACTGAGGGAAATGAGCCAAATGCTAACAAATGGGACTAGATTAATTTAGGATATCTGGTCGGCATGGATGAGTTGGACCAAAGGGTCTATTTTGTGCTGTACAACTTTATGACTCTAACTGCATTCTAACAAAGCTCTTTACGGAAATGTCTTAGCTTGATACATGACAGTATTGATGGTGCAGGTTCCCCAAACTCCTTTATGCAACCCCTTTGATGAAGCCTGTTTAATAGCCTGGTTGGCTTGACAAAACTCAGCAATGGTAAAATTGCCAAACTCATTACAATCTCAAAAAAGTCCAACAGATTTTTCAAGATGATTCCAATTTCATTAATCCATGTTTGTTGCCTCCCAGTCACATTATGATTTTCAAAGTGTCTTGCAAACACACTCTTAATAATGGAATCTAGTATTTTTGTTTAGTATTATTGAATCAAACTAATTGACATTTGGTTCCCTCACTTTGAACAGGAAGGTTCCATTTGACATCAGCTAATTCATTGGAACAATTGTAGAAACTACGGAATTTGAGGATCAAAACCAATGTATCCACACTCTCTGCAGCCATTTATTTGAACCATTAGAATACAGGCCATCAAGTCCAGGTGATTTATCAGACAAAGCCACAATTTCTCCAGTCCAATTTCTGTACAAATAATTCCTTTCAGTTCTTCGTTCTTACTAAATCCATTTTTCCCCACTATCGTCAGAACATATCCAATATCTTCCATTCTGAAGACAGATAGAAAGTATTCATTTAATGCCTTTACCATTTCCTTATTCCCCATTATCATTTCTCCTGCATATGACCCTCTCAAAATTCTATAATTCCAATTGACAATGTCTTCCCTTTTGAATACTGATGTGAGCTTTAAACTGTTGTATTCTTCCGTCAGACCCCTCACACCAGTTTAGCTGAATAATTTCATCGGAGCCATTTCAGTCCCACAATGACAAAGTCTATTGTATGAAAGCGTTCTGAAAATGAATAATGCAGATGCAGTTAGCAATCAGACTGTTTGCAAACAGTTCCATTTATATCAATCATGGTTTTAATCAACACGTTCATTCACTGCACAGCTTCCAGAAGGCATTCGAGAAATGAGGAATACATTCATGATTATGTTACCAGTGAAGCCTGTCTAAATGTCCAAGAATTCCCTGTTAGTCTAGATAAAACACATCAATGTCATGAAAATTTAAAACATCAAGTAGATGGTTTACAGTGTTTCTAATAGATCCATGAATTTTCCACTCCTTTCCTTAGTATCTAGTATAAACACAAATATCATTTTACCATTCTAATCCATATTATGCATACCCAATAAATGTGAATGGTAAGAAAAACAGTGTAAAGTTGAAACTCAAATTTGTGACAAGATAAAGTTTGTAAGATTTCTATATGTTGGGACTGTGTCCTGTTGAAGGTAACATGACTATTCAGAAGCCTGCCTGTCAGCAAGTCCGAGTGGTTTGATTGTTAGAAATCAAGTGAGCCCAAATTATTTTGTTTAGAGGAAGGTGCAAGGTTTTTACACCCGGAGACATTGGCAAAATCCAGTTTGTTAACAGTAGATAGATTGCGAGCCTTCAAATTCTGAGCAAAATGTTGAGAAAGTCAGGTTGTAAACAGTTCTATTTTAAACTATCTCGTTATTTCAAAGGTAAGAAACAGTTAGGTTTTCAGGATAGATAATCAACATTTCTGACTGGATAGGAGGCCCATGTGATTCATGTTGCCATGGAGAAGGAAGGGAGGGAGGTTCTGAGGTATCCTTAAACCCTAAGATTAGGTTATTCTTCAAGGCTGAAGAAGAAAGAGAGAGCAACTTTAACCACAAAGATGTCATGATTCACATGCAGGAATACAGGTGGGAGTTAGTTTCCGGATTCAAAATGCTGAATACATTAAGAGTTAAAGTTTTGCCTTGCTTGTGCTAAACCAGAATCTTACGAAAATAAATTTCAGCATGAAAAATTGTGCTTTGAAGTTTCAAGGCTGAGAAAAAAAAGGAATGGAAGTAAGTCCTTGGGAGCTAAGAATCACCTTGGGTGGATTTTGGGAAAATTGATTGTCTACTTGAAAGACATTGTTATGTATATTAGCGGTGTGTATTTAGCTGTGCAAAAAGGAAAAAAGGGAATATTCCCTTGTTTGTTTATACAAAAAAATGCCTACAAAGATAGTATTTAGTCAATAGTGCTGTTAATGTTTTGTAATAGTGATATCTTAAAATGTGAAATCTTGTTGCGTCATTCTTTTACTGGAAGTTTGAATTTCTTTTTAAGACTTATCGCTTTGTATGAAGATCACAAACACATAGTTAGATTTTCCAGCATGAGCTAGAACTAAGCTCAGCACAATGAAATCACAGCAATAATCTCCATTCAGACAGGCCAGTTACAATCTCACTGTGCAATTCCCCACAGAGAATGCTATCTCATTTTAATAAAAAGTCCAAGATGTATATTTGGTTCATTGAGGAGTTAATGAATTTATTTTACCTTTAATATCATTTTTCAGATTTATCCCCCTCTTGTCCTTCCTCCTGATGGAACTATTTTGTGAAGCTCTTTCAAAAGTCCGAGCACTCTGGTCAATGTTGACAGGCTGGTTAAAGAATGGAGTCCAACAATCTAGCAGATGCTTTCAATACCCACATACACAATTTCTGCAGGAATTGCTAGATTCCAAGTAGACTAATAACCCTGGCAAACCTTTGTCTTCTCCCCCAGCCCAGAAATGGTAAGAGAAAGATATATCATTCACATCATTAACTCCACTAAAATTGGCCAACTTAATATAGAAGGACTGAACTTAAGTCTTTCCCTGGCCACACAGTGGGAAACTGTTCATGTTTCAGATTTACATGCAGAATTTCACACACCAGGCACACATAGTGGGAATTCAGCTCATTTGTGAGCTTGTGATTTCCCATCCATGAAAATTAATGAGGCATACACTCAATTTTTTTGATATGTACTCCCAGTGGGGGAGATTCTGCACTGGTTGAACTAAAAATGAAGATTCACTCCAGTATCCGCTGTCTGGTTTGTTCATGAATTATTCATCTTTCAGCTCCCAAGTTGCGCGCACATGGAACCAGCTTCCTTGAATCATGTCACAACGACTGTGATAGCAAAATCTGGCCACAGAATTCATCATATAAAATATAAATAATAATCAGTATGAAAGGTATTTTTAAAATACTGGAGTCTATTCCCCATTGGTAATAAATAAATTACTGTCCTATAGATGGTAACATCAAATAATATTCCATTTCTATTTACATGTTACAGCAGAAACAAAGACTTTTTTTTTAACAGTCAAACGTTTGATCAGGTTCAAAGTTTTTCTATCAAACTGAAGCATGGTGTTGTTGAGAGTCACTAGGAAATTTACAAAGGCGATGTTGGGAAACTGTCCACCATACTTAGTGCTTCAAGATATTTCCAATTAACAAATAGATTGCTTTGTCAAAACTTATTAGATACTATGAGCTTTTAACTGTGACTGAAGGTTCATGACTTTGTTAAACTGTTGATATATTAAGCAACTTGGATTCATTAATCTGTTGAGTCAAATCAAAGGCAAATGCTTTGGAGTTTGATGCATTATCAATCATGGAGTTTTTCAAATGCCCTGCCAATCACTATAAAATGCACATTTCATCTCTATGAATACCACTGATTATTCAAAAGGTTTTCTACTACAATTCAGAGATTTTTACTTTTCTTTAAACATATTTCAATGATTATCGAATTCCCCTGCTTGCTAAGTAAATTTATGATTGATAACAATAAAATGGCTATGCGTTGAGGAAACAGACAGCGAACACCACAGGACATCCACAGATTTGTCATTTCATCTTCCCTTTAACTGAACTCTCTCCGCAGGTTCCTTATCAAGAGCTGGGAGGGAAGACCCTAGTGATGGCCGTTTATGACTTTGATCGATTTTCCAAACATGACTGCATTGGTCAAGTGTTGGTACTAATGACAAAGGTGGACCTTGGTCAACAACTTGAAGAATGGAGAGATCTTGAGAGTGCTGAGAAAGAGGAGGTAGGCTTTAAGGACCTTGAAATTGTCCAATATCCATGCAGTGGCACACTAGAGAATCGAAGGAGAATTGGACCGGAAAAATGATGTTGGCCTGGAATAATGGTATTGAAACTGCTTGCTGAGGTGGTCACTACTGCACAAAACTGACAGCAACTTCTAACATTAGTAAATGTACAGGTAAACATGGATATTTGGAAATTGTTATCAGTGATACCTGCTGCCGACTGGGCAGATGCAATCAACACAACCAGTAATTTGACATGAATTTCAACTTTTTACATAGAATCACTATAAAAACAATTGAAAATGTTTGTCTTTGTTGGACAAGATGGCACTAAGTTTTTAAAGGTGTTCTAAGTCATGGTTACTGCTGCACAACTGCAAAATCTAAGTTTTTTTCTTCTTGGAACATGGTAATGTGCTACAAAGAACGTTCAGTACTTAATGCTGAAAATCTTCCTGCATCTAAACAGTATAAAAATAAAGATTAACTTTTAAAATAGTCAGTCTAGCTACAGGTAAAACATGACATTATGTTTGGATTTTGATGTGGAATCACAGTCACCTGTTCTCTGCCTTGTTTCAGTGGTAAGTTAATTTTCTGCAGTATAACTATCACAATCTTTGCAGGTTATGTGATTAACCAAATATCTATGATTTTTCCTGCAGCCAGAGAAACTGGGAGACATTTGCACCTCTTTGCGCTATGTTCCAACGGCCGGGAAACTCACTGTCTGCATCCTGGAAGCAAAGAACCTGAAGAAAATGGATGTGGGAGGACTCTCAGGTATGTAGGACAATGGGCAAAATCTTATAGGGGTCTTAGAGATGTGGGCTATGGCAAGATGTGTGACAGAATCAGGCGACAAGTGTGGTAAGGTCCATTTTGACATCAAGATCATCTCATTCCATCTTTTATGTCTTTCACAAATAATGAGGGGAAATATTCTCATTAGGCAGCAGTGACGTGCCAATTGATGGTCATTATTGCCTGTTAAACACCTTGGTAATGCCACAACTTGTCTCTCTAATATTCAGTGACTCATCTTACAAGCTAGATGTCAGGAAAACTTGACAATGAAACCAGAGGAAGCACCTAACTGATAACCACCTAACCAATTGCTCTGAAGTATCTCCATGCTGGAAACCAGGCTCAAACATCTGAGGACATGTTTCATGGGCACTGAATACACACACACACACACACACACACACACACACACACACACACACACAGAGACAATATTCAGGTACGAACCCTCATGACACATCTCCTGATTCACATACAGGTCACTTCTGCACTTCAATGCTTTGCCTTGGGCTGCAAAGACAACTGCAGCAAGGACACAAAAATTTGCTCAGGGACATGCGCCCAGTTCATGAACTGAACCAAGATGCATTTCTAGGCTCTTCACTTGCTATCATAGCACTTACTCACCAGAGATACCAGGCTTCTATTACTGTTGTCTTGCCTTGCTGTTTAATGAAAGTAGACAAGTAGGTGCAGGAACTAGGAAAGCAAATGGTATTTTGACTTACATTGCAAGAGAATTTGCGTTCAGAAATAGGGATAGCTACTGCAGTCATACAGGATATAACTTACCTGGTAAGGTAAGGCTGCACCTGGAGTACTGTGTGCAGTTATGACTGCCCTACCTATGAGAGGATATACTTACCATAGAAGGAGAGCAGTGAAGGTTCACTAGGCTATACTAGAGATGGCAGAATTGTCACACAAGGACAGATTGGTTAAACTGGGCCTGTATTCACTCGAGTTTAGAAAAAGGGGAAAGGATAAATGCATAAAATTCTAACAAGGCAGACTAGATATTTCTAGAGACACATTATAGGAAAGATGTGAATGTATTGGAGAGTGAGCAGAAGTGATTTAAAAGAAACAAGAAACTTTTGTTATGAGGATACAGTGAAAGAATTGGGCACTGTTCTCCTTGGAGAGAAGACAGTTTGATAGAGATTTTCAAAATCATAAGTAGACTGGATAGAATACATAGGAAGAAGCTGTTCCTACTTGTAAAAAGAACAAGAAAGGGAAGGCATATATTTAATGTAATGTGAAAAAAATGCAAGAGTGATGTGGGGATAAAAGCTGTTTAAAAAGTAAGTAGTTAGGGTATGGAATACACTGCCTATGAAAGTAATGGAGGTATTTGAGGGGGTACTGGATGATTATTTGGACAAAATTACTGCAGAAGGGTATGAGGTGAAGGCAGGAAATTGACATTTGGTAATGATGCTCTTTTGAGTAGGTGATACAATTGGGCTGAATGGTCTCCTTCTGCACTGTTACAATTCGGTGAAAGTTAGCACAGATATACAGTCAGGAAACTTGTCTTGGTTCTGAGAGGCCTCAATCAAGTAGGATAGCCTTCGGCCATGAGCTCCTGGCACAGTAAATAAAGGCAACCCATAGGATTGGGTGTGGGGTGGGTAAAAAATGTTAATTGATTCAATCAGGCTGTAAAGATATTGAACTCAATGTTGAATCCTAGAGGCTGTAGGGTCCCCAAGTGGAAAATGAGATGTTATGCTGAGGCTCACTGGAACACTGCTGCAGGCCTGAGACAGAAATACTTGTGTGGAAACACGGCAGTGTGTTGAAGTGGCAGCCAACTGGAAGCTCGGTGTCATTTCTGTGGGCAGAGCATAAGTGTTCTGCAAAGTAGTCACCAAATCTGCGTTTTGCCTCCCCAGTGTAGAGGAGACCACATTGTAAACAGCAGATTCAGTAAACTATATTGAGACACCAGAGCAGCCTCTGATACCAGTCCAGGCCTAACATGAAGTGTTAAGGATCAGGATCCTTTCCTCTTAAGGCCTGGACACCACCTGTCTTGACTCGTCCTGCCCTATTGTGGTCTGTTTTCCTCCTGGAGGTAAAAAGAGGCAGGTATTACGGGAGAAGGAAGTGAAGACATAGCTATTAATATTGATGTAGGTGGGGACGTGTCCAAAGCAAGTGAGCAGGCAACACAAAAGGCATGCAGGGTCAGTAGTGTTGAGTGAGAGCAAGCGGCAAAGCTGATGCTGGGAATAGTGAGAGTAATAGAGCATGTGTCTTGGTGGGGGATGGGTGCAGTAGCAGAGACAGAGTGAATGAGAGGTATTGGAATGGAGATAGTGGACCCGACCCTGATGCAGTGGAGGAAGACATTGATCTTCTTCCTATAATGCTGGGTATTCCTCCAGATTGCTAAAACAGCTTTAACCCAGATGGCGACCTCAAACCAGGCTGTCATCTCGTGCTGTCGTTGTCTCCACTGCTGGTGCCCAGGGGAAGAGAAGTTCTGCATCTGCACCATCCCATCCAGCTGGACCTGGTCCCCACACAGCAGGATGTTGAATTCCCACAGTCTGCCATGTTTGTGGCAAATTCAGGAACCATGCAGGGCAAGTCCACACGGGTGGTGCTTGTCCAGCAATACAACAGGCTTTTAAAGATAGCGTAGATGCAAGAGATGCCCATGAATTCTGTAATAGCTGCTGGGTGTCTAATTGTTGTGAGTATGGAGCATGGCAAGGTAGGGTGGAAACAGGGTGTGAGAGACTCCATGGGGATATGACAGATAATTAATGAGGCAAGTTTGGTAAGATAGGATGAGAGAACTCCCTGGGCCTAGTGCAAAACCCTCCAGAAATCTCACTTTATCTCAAAAGAATGCAAAACTCAACCCAACTGCTCTTTTGGAAGTGTCAGGGCCTAAGAGGGGTATTAGAATTTGCAATAAGTACACACGCTTTGTAATATATCACTAGCTCTCCATGAGAGAAAAATCAACTGCACTCTGTGTAATCTTTGAGTAAATCCCTCAGGAACCCTTGAATTCTTATCCCTCAGTTTTCTGAAAATCATTTGATCAAAATGAAATACCAGTTACTGTTAGGAAAATATCAATAACCAGCTGTTGAATTAAGAATTGTACTTTAGTAAAGATTCTATTTTAGACTCAAAACCTTTAAAGAAAATAATGTGTAGGGAATTTAACACTTAAAATAATATCAGTTTTGTTCTAAATGATAGTTTCAATCTAAGCTAATAAAAATTGTATCACCCATTCATTACCTGGTTAAGCAATGCCTCAACTGTAAAATTCTCATCTCATTTTTAAACGTTTCCATAGGCTGGTCAGTCCCTGACTCTGTCACCTTCAGCTACTCCTTCAGTTAATAAGACCCAAAGCTCTGTAATTCCCTCTCTATATTTCTATTTCCACTACTACACAACTTTCTCTAAAACCTAATCAAAGATAGTAGGAACTGCAGATGCTGGAGAATCCGAGACAACAAGGTGCAGGGCTGGATGAACACAGCAGGCCAAGCAGCATCATAGGAGCAGAGAGGCTGACGTTTCGGGCCTAGACCCTTCATCAGAAAAGGGGGAGGGGAAGGGGGTTTTGAAATAAATAGGGAGAGAGTGGGAGGCGAATAGAAGAGGGATAGAGGAGAGGATAGGTGGAGAAGAAACAAACAGGTCGAAGAGGCGGGGATGGGGCCAGGAAAGGTGAGTGTTGGTAGGGAGTTAGGAAGGGGATAGGTCAGTCCAGGGAGGACGGACAGGTCAAGGGGGCGGGATGAGGTTGGTCGGTAGGAGATGGAGGTGCGGCTTGAGGTGGGAGGAGGGGATAGGTGGGAGGAAGAACAGGTTAGGGAGGCAGGGACGAGCTGGACTGGTTTTGGGATGCGGTGGGGGGAGGCGAGATTTTGAAACTTGTGAAATCCACATTGATACCATTGGGCTGCAGGGTTCCCAAGCGGAATATGAGTTGCTGTTCCTGCAACCTTCGGGTGGCATCGTTGTGGCACTGCAGGACTTCCCCTCCCCCTTTTCTGATGAAGGGTCTAGGCCCGAAACGTCAGCCTCTCTGCTCCTATGATGCTGCTTGGCCTGCTGTGTTCATCCAGCCCTGCACCTTTTTCTCTAAAACCTGTCTCTTTGACCAAACTTTTGATCATCTATTTTATGATCTCCTGTGGCTTGGTGTCAAACATTGCTGTGTAATTCCTCCGTGAAGCATATTGGGATTTTTCTTCCATCAAATGTACTTTACAAACACAAGTGACAGTTGCTGTTGTTGACAAATCCTGATTAAAACAAAACTCACTCAACAAAAAGTATTAAAGCTGTTTTCCTTCTTTAGCAACATGAATAATTAAGAGGATATGAATATACAATTCTATGTTTCCTGGTGTACCATAATATTTGTGACAATAATGCATTAGAAACATAGAAAATATATATAGGAGTCTATTCACCAAATCACAGCTGTGTGGCCAAAAGCAAACTATCCAGACTAATCCCACATATCAGTTCTTGGCACACAGCCTGTAAGTTATACCATTTTGACTCTCCCTGTGAACACGCAAGTTTCAGCCTTATTGAGATATAGTTCATCCAAGTTGTGTGTTCCATCTGCCTCAAGGCTTGTCCCCAGTCCATAAAATCTGAAACCCTCCTTCCTGCATCACTTCTCCAGCAGAGGTCGGTATCCTCTACTCAGTTCATTTTAATTTCATGCCCTTAAATATATTAATTGTTTAAATTATTTGGCAGCTCCTTGCCCCTTGTCCCACTGCACTGAATTCCCGCTCTCACCAAATTCCCACTCTCACCAAATTCCCAAATACTACTCTGTTGAGTAAACCATTCCTTTTAGCGGGTTTGCTTGGCTCTGTACTTCAGTAGAGATTGCTCAAAAAATGTATAGTTTTAAAATGCAGTAGTTTCAACTGTTCAGCCAATTGCTATTATATCTTGTGGTTTCCAGAGAC